AATACAGCTTAATTATCGATTTTGCAAGCAGTGCTCTATAAAACTTATCAACTTGTTTCATGATTAGTTGAAAATACTTCATTTGCCGCTAAGACCTGGTTGTTTTCTTCCTGCATACTTTTTCTCGCAAGTAATTCAGTTAACATGTCGCTCGAAATGGTGCAAAAGATTCTCTTAACCGCCCATTTCACTCAGCAAGACCCTCACTCTGATTGGGCCACCAGTCAAAAAACCCATAGCAAGCCATTAACTTGCGAACAACTGGGACAACATCGTGTTAGAGGGAGTACATGTAAATTTGTGCGATGGAAACGCGATGCGGTTTAATGCGAGTGCATTTGAGGGCTACAGTTCGCCTTGATTAAACGTATGGTTGACCATCTATTGTGATTATCGTGACAAGATGTTACCGCTGTTATTTTTATATTGTGATTCTAATTTCAATTCCAATGTAACAGCAAAGATTGCTCCACTGCCCCTTCTTAAAACTATGTTTACAGCTCTGGGATAACCGTGGTGTATAGTCTTCTGTTTCCCTACCGCAGAGTGGAACTAATTTATTTATATCAGAAATAGGAAAGGATCGTAATCCAACAAAAGCCTGAATATCAGACCTGATGGTCACTGGTGACACATTGCATGTGTGTATGCAACAAATAACATTCCCATAGTTGCCAGATTATCCCTTGTCCTCGTTCAAATTATTACGGCTATCGTTCCAGATTGCCAACCGATTTCGGGAGTACCGCACTTGCTGATTCCATAATATTCTGTTCAATCTATAAGAAGTAAAACATCTGCAGCAGCATAGAGAGGTTTTATTTGGAGAGAATGCTCAGACGTACTGACGGAAATAGAAATTTCTAAATAGTGAACGTATAAACTCATTGACTCGCTACTCGGAGAAATTAGCAGAAAAAGGAAGGCAATAATGACCAGCTTTAACCGTATTGGAATGTCGCTAATAGACAGAAAGCTGACCATGCAGTTATTCAATCCTTCCGTTCTGCCCGCTGTGATATGCGGTGCTGAATGTTGATCTTCTACTATCTGCGAGGTGAACAAACTGGTGACCACGGAAGAGAAGAAGAAGCGAGAAACGTGTACGTTCAGAAAGCAGAAATTTTACAATGAACTGCATTAACAGAGGTGATTTCCGTCTTCTACGATTCCAAGGGAAGATGGGCTAGCCATGTGTCTCGCCTGAGAGACAGCGAGTCGATGTCAAGAGTTACAAACTGAGTTCCACTGAGCGGTCAACATCGAGTCGGTCTCCAAGAACACACTGGGATCATC